CTTAATTTGGCTTTGATCTGACTTTTCGTTACTTTTTGGTGATTTTTTTTCTCCCCCATAGGAAACAATGGAGTCCAACTTTTGACAGCTCCATTGTTTCCTATGGGGAAGAAAGAAATTCACAAAAAATTAACGAAGACCCAGAAACAGTTTTAAACGCTTGGGATCGTTGATGCACCTTCTAATTCGTGTGCAAACCTGATTTGGCTTTGATCTGAGTCTTTGTTAATTTATGGCGAATTTCTTTCTCCCCCATAGGAAACAATGGAGCTGTCAAATTTTGACAGCTGTCAAAAGTTGGTGGGGGAGAAAAAAATCAGCAAAAATTAACGAAAAGTCAGATCAAAGCCAAATTAAGTTTGCACCCGTTTTAGAAGGTGCAGAAACTATTCCAAGCATTTAAAACCGTTTTTGACCCTTTTATGACACACTTAAATTTGCAAAAATGGACATCGCAAAACCATTGAAATGCATTGAATAGGCTTCAATTCATTCCAATGGAGGAAACATTGTATCGTTTAACAATGTTTCCTATGGGTTTTTTCGCTTAAGGGCGGCAATCCGTGCCTACTGGAACGCATTAACTGGTTTTCAATGCATCTCTATGGGAGAATGCGTTTCGCTTAACGATGTTTTCACATAGCGATGTTTTTTTGGAACCAATTAACATCGTTAAGCGAGGCACCACTATTAGTGTCATCCAGAATAATCACATTAAAAGTACCATACAACTGTTATTCAGCTTAGTGGATCTATTTCAGTTGACACCAAATTTAACTTTATCCCAGTGTTCAAATAAAGTTTTGCCTAGAGATTATGAAATACTTTAATTTTTCTAAGACATAACATCTCAGAAGAATGTCCTTCCTTTATGTAATTTAAGTTTTAAAGGCAACTTTTTTTGAAATGTTTAATAGGGGAAGGGCACTTAACCATGTTGGCAGTCTCAGCTTCCTTCAGCTCTGGTTTCCTAAGAACACTTTCTAGGAAGTGAGGCTCTTTGAACATGACTGGCAGAGTCCTGTTGAATGGAAGCAAAATTTGACATTCTACAGTGTGCTTCCACTTGATCCCTACTGAGTAAACAGAGAGCACAGAGTACCCACTGAGACCATTGGGGGAGTGGTAATTTGTGTGAGAATGTATTGGATATTTCATTGCTCAGGGTCCTCAAATGTTGCACTGCACATGCAATGGATGATTTAGCAGAATAACAGAACACAATTTTGCTCAATGAGGTTTATTTCTGCATAGACACATGTAGACCTGCTCTGCCAAATGATTTTTAAAATGACTTCCTCTGCTAAGAGTAGCAGAGTGTTGGCCACTACCACAGAGAGGTGTAAGTATTATGCTGTTGCCTCAGGCCATTTCCAGTAAATCAGCTGATTAGGGGGCATTATAGGTATACACCTCTAGTTGAAGTAGCAAGGTCTTCTGACTACTGAATGTGGGCTGTTATATGTTTATCCATCCGCCCTTGATGTAGAAGTCTTTTGGCAATGGGAAGAACTTGTAAAATCCAACTGTGCTGACTTCAGAGACACAGTTTCACACACATCTCCAAGGCAAAGGATTTTTCTAATGCAAAGTTAATTCATTGCAATACATCCAACCAAAAAGAGTCCACCATTGCATATGCCCGAATCATATTCTGAAAAACCACTATCCATGTTGCAATGCCGACATTTAACTGAAGTGGCCAATTCCTTTTTAAACAAATAGATGTTCAGTAGGTATGAAACATTATTTCCCCCATCCCAATCTAAGCCATATCTTTAGGTCTAAATTGATTTTATATCTTGAAGCTAGAGCAGATTTCCATTGGTTAATTTGCATGGGGAAGTCCCGTTCTTCAATCAATTCCATTATAATTTCATTGACATCAAATTTAGCGCTTTCTAATAGACATTTATAAACTATAGTTGTTGGTTTCAGTTTCTGAGAAGATGCAATTAATACTGCCAAATGATAGGGGATTTCCGACACCCATATGTGGACAGCAAAATATGTAATTTTCAATATTACCATACTGCTGCAGACCATAGTTCATATGTAGATCACAGTCTTTTGTTTTTGCTATTAACAGATGTGAAAGTGTCTACAAAGAGGCCTGGATGTCCAGCAGTAACTCTTCTCATTGGAAAGGAACCTTCAGTTATAACAGTAGACATCGTACTTGGTGTGGAATTTCGGCATACATTTTGGGGTAACAGTACAAAGAATGGCTTGGATATTGAAAGGTGGCTAGGAAAGAAAGTAAAGCAAGAGTTTCATCGTGCACCACTCTACCTTGTACCTAAGAATGTCAAAGAAGGAAGAGCTTTCATAGGTATTACAATTAATGTCTTCGATTTTGTCTGCCACAATAGGTATATTTTGTTGCATATGTGCACAAAGGATTGCACACTTAAATACAAACTGGTTGTTGTCTGGTGCTAGAAAGCTCAAGAAATTACAATATATTATTTCCAGGGGTTATTTCTCCTACAAGACTTAACAATTCAATAATAATAAAAAAAGAGGATCCAGGGTGCCTAATTCCATTGTTTAGGATAAAAGAGAAGTTCGTAATAGTACAAAATAATCCAACAACATATTCTCAAAGGCTTTCACGGCCAGGATCCGATGGTTGTTGTAGGTTTTTTGGGCTGTTTGGCCATGTTCTGAGGGTTTTTTTTCCTAACGTTTCGCCAGTCTTTGTGGCTCACATCTTCAGAGGACAGGAGTCAAGACTCTGTCTGTGCTGTGGTCATTGTTTATTGTGTCAGCTTGAGCAGATATAAAGTCACTGTAATGGGATACTGAAGAAACAGGTTATGCTGTATACCTTTCTTTAAGACTAAGGATGTCACTTGAGATTTGGTTCTTAACCCACCATATCTATGCAGAGATAAAGACTTGAGGCCAGTACAGTATTAGCACTAGGGCTGCTGTTGTGCCTTTCCACTGATGAAAACATACTCAAATGAACTGCATGTTCACGTTGCCTTTAAAGCACGGTCAGGGAACTTACCTGGGATGGAAAGTCATACTTCACCCTGAAGTAGGAAGCCACACCCATCTTATTGTTGCCAGGAGATCTACTGTGCTGTCTCTGCCTCCCCAAAATTCTTGTGATTCTGCTAAGAAACAGCTGGCTAGGAGCACTTACCTTGTTTCTTAAAAGAATCCTGTTACATACAGCACTGATGGTACCTGTCTGTCATGGGTTTGGAGGGAAAGTTCCATCCTATGGGGAGTGGAAGGCGGGACATCAGGGGGGAGGAGCTGTACTGTATATATGTTTGGAGCTGGTGTGAAGGGTGAAGAGTTGGAGTCTGTGTGTCAGACTGGGTACAACTGTGTGTCAGTTAGTACCTACCTGATAGGTTCAGGTTTCTATGTGGGTAGCCAGAACTGATAGGTTCAGGGTCTGTGCTTTACTTTAAAGTGTTCTGTGTGAACCAAACTGTTGTATGTATGATTGAGACTAAGCCACGTTACAGTATCTTATTTACTTGATCTTTTTATTTACCCTGTTTGTAGTTTAAATAAACCTTGTTCTTTTGTTTAGTAAAATCCATTCCTGGTCTGTGTGACTTCTTATAGGGAATGGTTGGTGGCAGCTTAATTAAAGTGTGGTATACTCCAGTAGGTCTGGGGTTGTCACAAATCCCACTCCTGATGGCCTGCTAGAAGGGGGTATGTAAGGGAGCAAGGTGTACACTCTTCACTGTCCATGTTTCCTAGCAGAATCACTGGAATTTTGCCACTGGAGACTTAAGCTTGTTGCTGCAAAAATGGCTGGGGTCAGTGCTCTGCAGGTCAAGTGCTGCAGCATCCTTTTCTTTAAATGATAGGATCACATATTGCTAATAAGTTGTTTAAAGCAGTGGTCCCCAACCTTGGGCCTCCAGATGTTCTTGGACTACAATTCCCAGAAGCTTACACCACCCCCTCTTCTGGCCAGGATTTCTGGGAGTTGAAGTCCAAGAACATCTGGAGGCCCAAGGTTGAGGACCACTGGTTTAAAGGACTGAATCATTTTTCCCCTCAGATATTTAAACAGGAAGTATTTCAACTTGTTTTTGTATCAATACTGCAATAAATTGCTCTGTTTTCTCTCCCAAATTTAGGTAATACTTGGCGACTATCTTTCTCAGTAATTGAAAAGGAGATATTAAATAATCATGGATCCACAAAGACATGCTGTGAAAAATGTGGCTCACCATGCTGTAGGTTAGTATGAGATTTTTGGATGAAGTTTGGGCTTCTCTGTTTTCCCCACCACCTCTCGCAATGTACAGTGTCCTGGAGAACTTCAAAGCTTAACTCTTTTTGAGATTTTGGTGATCTAATATAGGCATTTGCCTGTGCTTCTTAGTTTAGTATAATTATTGTTGCACCCATTTGCCAAATCTGTCTCAAAATTTCTTGAGAAACTGAGAAATTCTAAGGATTCACTGGTAGCATCTTTAACTGATTTTACCATCATGCTACAACTAGCATTACAGGGGCCAATTTTCCAAACTTCTTGGGCAGTTGGAGAATGGCAGAGAGAGCAAAACTTTAATTCCTTTTATGTAAAAAGCAGAGCCAGATTTATATTTATCAGTTATTTATTGCAATTATTTATATCCCAGGTTTCAAGATTAGTAGAATAAAGACAGGCAGTCAGTTACAGCCTAAAATATCATGTCACCTACGAAGAGGACATAATTGCCTTTCTTTTCATGGGTACTATTAATAAAAGGTAACCCTGTATCACAAGAAGTATCTTTTATACCCTCATGAAGACTGTCCATACCTAATATATGAGTTTTTCCACAGCACTATTAGATGGGGTAATCTGGTAGCCACTGTTATACTGTATTCCAAAAGGCTTTCACCAGAGTCTGCCGCTAGAGACTCCCGGACAAATCTAACAGTCATTCCTTAACTAAATTTTTAAAGAATAGGAACCAGAGAATAGATAAATGGACGGTCACACACAACAGAAAGATAACCGTTTGGGTACTTCAAGGATCCATATTGGGGTTGAAGCATTTTAATTTGTTTTGAAAGGAAATACATTTAGAAGGGATCAGTGAAGTGGTGAAATTTGCTGATAATAATTCAGACTAGTTCAAACAAAGGATAATTCAGAGATTGAAAAGGATCTCCCCAAACTGGAAGCATGGGCACTAAAATGGCGAAAGAGCTTTATTATAAGCATTTGTAAAGTAATGTCTACTGGGGAGAAGTCCTCACATGTGTGGTAATTGAGTTAGCAGGGACCAACCAGGAAAAAAAATCTTTGATAGTGAGCTCAGTGACAATCTAAAGCTCATGTGTGACTGAGGTGAAAAAAGTACACTTCATGTGGGGGTAATTTGGAAGAAACAGTAAATTGAAACTTACTTTGTCATTATACAAATCTGTAATTGAAATATTAAATATAATTGTGACCACTACACCTCAAAAAAGTGTTGATAAGGAGGGATAGGGCTTCTGCCAAAACTCTTATCTAGAGGGTTCTGAATGGGGATTCTGTGCAGGTGGAGACACATTGCAGTAGTACCTTGGTTTACAAACGCCTTGGTTAACATCATTTTCGGTTTGCAAACAGAAATCCATTGAAAATAATGCCTTGGTTTACATTTTGTTTGTTTGTTTGGGTTTATGAAGAAAGTTTCTCCAGGATGTATTGTGCCTTGAGGTTTGTAGCGCCGCCCCCGTTCCTATAGCAATTCATGTTTCAGTTTACAAATTTTCCACTTTACATAATGTCCCATAGAACGCATTTTGTAAACTGAGGTACTACTGTATGTGTCACTGAACAGAGACCATGAAGAACCGGGATGATTTGAGAGGCAGAAACTCATGGTGAAAGGCTACAAAAGTGGCAGTTTTCTAGTAGAATAAAAACAGGTAAGGAAACTGTTATAAGCAATATAAAATAATGGAGGGTATGGAAAGGTAGATTTTGGCCTTGGTATTTGAACCTGGGGTCTTCTGATGGAACTGAATGATGGGAGATTTAGGACAGACTGAAGGATGTAGTTCTTTATACCATGCATAGTTAAAATGTGGAATTGACAACCTCATGGCTTCATAATATGTTTATGGCAGAGTTTGACCTTTAGAACTACATTCTCTTAAAAGTGTAGCCTTATAGTATAACTCACATATAACAATGTCTGAAATGCTTAGAATTTATGCCCTTTGTGTAAATGCACCCATTCTGTTCAAGAGCACTGCCAACTCCTGTTCCACATTCACCTTTGCACTACAGTGGTGCCTCGCATAGCGATCGCTCTGTTTTACGACGAAATCGCTTTGCGATGGACTTTTTGCCATTGCAAGAGCGATTGCTTTGCGATGGCCTGTATGGGGAAAATTCACTTTGCGATGATTGCGGGGAAGCGATCATCGCAAAGTCCCCATTTTTGCACAGTTGATTGGCGGTTCCAAAATGGCTGCCGGGTAAACAGAATGGCCGCCCGCTGTTTTGCCTGGCTTTAGAGGCACTGAAAATGGCAGCCCCTATCTTCGCATAAGGTCAGTTTTTAAGCCCATAAGAATGCATTAAGCATGTTTTAATGCGTTTCTATGGGCTTTTAAAAATCGCTTAGCGACGTTTTTCCTGGAATGGATTAACGTCGCTAAGCTAACTGTACATCTATCTATACAGGATTGTGATGCTCGTGTGTCTATTGAGTCAATTGTTCCCAGTAGGACAGTGTTACAAATAATATGTTTTACAATGTTTCTATGATTTCCCAACAGGAAAAACTGTCTTAAACTTATGAAATATCTCTTGGAACAACTTAAAACAAAACATGAAAACAAAAATCAATTCCAAAAATTTTGTTCTTATCACGTCAAAACTGCCTTTCTCCATGTGTGTGGCAAATGGCCCAGAGATGAACAATGGCAAGATCTTGATAAATGTTTCAACAGATTGTTAGATTATTTTCTGGACTGCCTTAAACAGGCTAACCTTCCACACTTTTTTATACCCAGCTATAACTTCTTTTGCAATGAGAAGATTGAAAAGACAAAGTATAATGCACTTGTGAAAGTAATTGAAATGGAAAAAAACAACAACTTTCCTCTATTTTTTCTGTAGGTTTCAAGACTAAAAATAGGAACTAATTCATAGATTAGCTTGAATGAGAATACAGATATTTTAATTAAAGGGAGACTCAGATATAGCTGGAACAACAGTCCTTGGACTGATCGCGAGAGGCAGAAGGGGCTGGACCTGACATGGCAGCTCTCAGGCGGATGCCCTGAAATGCTGGGGGGTGCCAGGAGGACAATGGGGACAGTTCCTCCCTCCAGCTTCCCACTGGCCACTGGATTTCATTGGCTGACAGGAAAATTTTAAATTAGAAGTGCAGACAGGTGAGTGGGAAAGCAGTGGGTTCCAATCTGGCTTGCCTGCCTGACATAAAATGGAGTGAGATTGCTCCAGCCAGTTTGCGTCTCATCAGATTTTTTCCCCTTCCCCATCCCCCTTGTTTTATGGTGATGGTATGGTGGTACCTGTATAGGTTAATGTTTACTGCTTGGGTATTAGGGGTTATTGGTTGGCTGTTATGGGTACTATGTGTCTTGTTGCCTTTGTCATGCCTTAGTTGGCTGTTTGGGGCATTGGGGTGGGATCCAGATGGTATGAGGTTGGCATGCTTGCTTGGGTTGTTAAAGAAATCCTTTTAAGGAGCACTGAGACTGGGCCATGGTTTGGTCTAGCTTGGGAGCCTATTGGCACAGACCTTCTCTCAGATTTTAGTCATGTGGTCTCCATAGGAATACCACTCCTGGTAAAATCTTCAGCAGGTATTGAAGGGGTGTTCAGGTCTTTCAATGCAACAGATCCATCCCCCCAATGCTATGCCAGGACCTGCCACTGTAAGTAATAAAGTTTTCTTCCAAAGAATTGTGTGCTGTTTTCTTTGCATTTAGGGTCAGCTGACCTGAGGCTTGCTTAGCACTAAGCTAACAAAGAGCAGACTATAGCAGCATCTACAACCAAACAACAACACATTAAGAAACACTGTACCAAACAGAGGTTTGTCTTTTTCCAGCCACTCTTAATTTGGTTGCTATTGACTGTTGTGGAAAATTTTATCTAACTTTTTTGATAATGGATTTGCATCTGTGTGCCTGTTATTAGCCAAATATGAACTATCTGGTTCAATATAAGGCCATTGAGGGTGCTGAGTAACAGCTGTTTGTTTACCAAGACTGTGAAGAATGATGAAATCTACATTGAAACCTGCCATCTCTAACTGACTGCATGGCTGCAGTCTCCATTCTCAAATTTGCTTATAAACAATACAGCCTGGTCCCTACATCTAGCTATGATAATTTTAAGTATTCTGCACAGTCCCACCCCCCCAACCCCATAAAGCCCAGCCTGAGCCCTGCAGGACTCCAAAGCTAGTGCCTGTCTGTGTGGTTTTCGTGGTCTAATAAACGTATTGGCCAACTTTATGAACGTTTTTTTTTATACACCTGTGTTCTAAGTATCAGTACACATAATACAGAGAGACCTGTTAATATTCTACAGAATGCCTACAAGATAGAGATAAAAAGTACTTCATGCCTACTGGAAAATTTTATGAGCTGATTTTCTAATTCAGTTTGTCACATTGCTGGCATACTTCCATCCACAACATTTTTTCTTCCTTCAGATGTTGCCATATGCTAGGTTTTTGCCCACCTCCAAATTAGGCCCTATGATTATTTCTAGTAGTCATTACAAGACTGATATTACTGTAGCTCAGAAGTTCTTGACCTCATTGCTACACAGGGTTTACCTAAAGATGTGTTATTTAAAAGTACAGTGGGGTCTTGACTTGAGAACTTAATCCGTATTGGAAGGCGGTTCTCAAGTCAAAAAGTTCTCAGGTCAAATCTGCATTTCCCATAGGAATGCATTGAAAACCATTTGATCCGTATCTGCTCTTTTCCATCCATAGAAACTAATGGGAAGCTGCTATTCTGTCTTCGACCACTAGAGGGGGATATTTTGTTTCTTTTTTTCTTAGGTTAAGAAAGGTTCAGGGAAGGCAGGGAAAATACAGTCCAGGCAGTACAGTACCAGGCAGTCTGAAGACTGTCTCCCAATCCACTCTCTAAACGCTGGGAGGAGTGAGGAAGCAGACAGGCACCCTTTTCACTGGCCAACAGTTAACTGAAAGTTCACATTTTGCACTTTCCCTGCCTCCCACGTGTTTTTTTTCAGTTCTTAACTCAAATCTAAGTATGTAAGTCAAGTCAATATTTTCCTATGAGAGTGGTTCTTAAGTCAAAATGTTCTTAACTCGAGCCGTTCTTAAGTCAAGACCCCACTGTACTGTATTTTTCTGTGTATAAGAAAAATTTTCTAACCCAAAATTTCTTTCTTTGCAAAAAGTGAAGGGGAAAAGCATTTTCAAGAAAGTGGAGAGGGAAGAAAGGAATCGCTTTCCCTCTCCACTTTCTTGTAAGCAAAGTGCAGGGGGAAAGCAGGGATCACAGCTCTTTGATTCCCCCCTTACTTCCATATATAAAACAGCCCTCTATTTTCCCTCTAATTATTTTAGGAAAAAGTCTTGTGTTATACACGGACAAATATGGTACTTTACTAGGATATTGTTTTGAAAAGGTCAAAATCTCATGAACTCAAATTGGCAGCAACAAAAGTACAACTGTTTTGTTCAGATTGGAGAGGGCTAGAATTCTGGTATAGGACGTAGAGATATTAATGTATTTGTAGAAATCAGGAGTTCCTGCTGTAAGGATTTGGAAGACATATAGGACTTGTAGTTATACAAAGATGGAGTTTATTAAGTTTAGTTTATTTATAAGCCACTGAATGTCTCATGGGATTGTTCCAAGTTTGCTCTGCCTGGCACCATGAAGAGAAGCAATGCTTGAGAAGATCAAGAGGAAGAGCAAACACCACATTCCTTATAATTGGGACGAGATAAACCACCTGCAGATCTCATGTGAAATATGGGTGGTGAATTGTGTTACGTCCTCATGATTTTAATTGGTTAACAACTGGAAAGCGTAAGAGAGGGAGGTCCAGAGATATGTAGAAAAATGGTTGTTTCATGTAACAGGTTGTTGGGAAGAAGAGAGGTTTGTCTTTTTGAAACGGGAGGGGGGGAGAGGAAGATTTGCCCAGCTTCTCTAGTGTGCTAAGATGTAGAATGTTGCCAAGATGATTACTTAACGTAGTTCAGATATTAATTTTAATCTAAGAATATTAAGCTTATTTGAATCACAGTAACTGTTTGGATATGATCATGCTTCATTCTTTTAAAGTTGCAGCTGTATTTTAATGCAACTACTGTACTTTATTTTCTTAATAAAACAATTATTCTTCGACAAAGGGCTTGCCTCTTGAACAGCAAGACTGCACCTAAATCCAGTGTGGATAAGAAAGTCACTAACTTCTACTATACGAAGAGGTTCTACTTAGCCAGTCTGTTGTGCTGTCTAAGGAAGCACACAGTCAGTGGCTTGTTGCTTTGTAAGTACGCAGGCAAGAGGCTCTATTTTAGAGCTTGTCCATAGGGCAAGGACTACGCACTTCTGAGGCTAAAGGACCTGTCTCAGGATATGAAAAGTGGTTGCTTGTGCCTACAGTGACTCCTCGCCCAAGACACTATCTCTTTAGAGAGAAGCGGTTCTGACACCTGCTTATCCCATGATACAAAAGCAGCTGCTTCACAATACATTTTACTAGTGTAAAATGCAGTTATTTTGAAGAAAAAATATATGCTGTTTATTCATTATCATGTTCTTCCTTTTCAAAATAGATGAAAATAGGAGCACAGTCCTTTCTTTTTGCTCTTATTTTCTGTGCAGGGGACCTTAGGATTTACCACATGCTATTAATTTTGTGGGATACCCACTGTGGCGTAGTGGACAGAGTGATAGACTAGGACTCATGAGGCCTGCATCTGAAGTCTACTCAGCCAAGAAAGCTCATTTAGGGGAGTGGAACTGGTAAAAACACTTCTGAAATGTGTCACTTGCTTTGATGGCCCTATTAAGGTCATTATAAGTCAGTACGGACTTGACAGCTCATAACAAATGTATTCTGTGGTGGTTTATTGTAAAGATGTGGGAAGTTGGTTGAAACAATGCAGGGGAATGGGACATGGTTTGATTTCCTAGAGGTGTATTTTTCTTCCAAAGGGCAGGAAGACCAGAAGCCTCTGGATAGTTAGTTATTTGTATAACAGCTTTTGCTTTTCAGTTCAGCTGGTAACCTCAGTGCAGCATCTGAAAGCACTAACATAACTATAGCTACTGCCTCAATCAGTTTCTCATCTAGTGTGTAGGTGTGCTATGAAATTACACACTAACTTCCAGGCCATGGTGTTTACATCTTTAGGATTCTTTGTTTTCTGGTTGAGCTGAGAGGCTTTCTTAAAAACTGCAGCTGGTGACTACTGTTATCATGTACGTAAGTCAAGGTAGCAGTAGGATGAACAGAACAATGTCAAGCTTCGTGGGATGGCAATGTGGTCTGAGCTAAGAAGGGGTTGCCTGCACAGGCATGATGGCATGCAAGCTTGTGGATAACATTGCTGATCCAGTATGAAAAATAATAGGGTGGGAGTAGCTGGCTATCAGAGAGGGGAAAACTCATGTGTGCTGTTGGGAGCTGAAACCTGCAGACCTGGACTGGTCCAAAGATTAGGACTTGGTACAGGCCTATACAAGGCCTGCTCCCATGTAGCCTGTCATTTTCAGGTGAGAAAGCAGCACAACGTACCCTCGCTAACCATCAGGGTCACCCAGGCTGGCTGTTGTTCAATGTGCAAGGATTGTTTTCATGCCAAGGAAGACTTCCACCTGGAGCATTTAATTTTGTCACAAGTTTTCCTGTCTTTTGCACAAAGAAGTTATTACATGGATGGAGAGGATCGACAGGCAGGCATAAAGAAAGCATACATGACAATTACTTAGTAATTTTAGACAGTGAGTACAATTATCCAGGTCTGTTTGGACAACCCTCATGAACAAGCCATTAAAAGTAGGCACTTGTGTATCGGCATTAAGGGACTGTGTGTTTGGACACATAGGTACCAGGCTACTTTCCCTGATGAGTGCAACTAACTGGACAAGGGCAAGCAGGTTCTTACCTAGCTTTACACAATGCTTGTAAATATAAAGGTGTAGCCAAAATTTTGATCCAGCTAATGTTATCAAATTATTTTTCCCATGTGCAAAGAGTTTTTTGGGATTGTTCCCAATGCCACTGACAACCACTCTGTGGTAGTACTTGCAATATATCATCAAAATCACAGATGTTTCTGCCAGCTCAATATTTCTGAGGCTCATAATACCAAGCATAGTTACTATATGTAAGGGAAACAGAAACCCTAATTTGAAGACTCCTCTTCAAGCAACACATATGAAAATCAAGCAACGTTATGAGTGAAAATAAGAGCTTTTATTTATCAAGTAAAATATGCAGCAGCTATAAATCAGTGAAACAACTCTTTTATTCTTTTAACATTCACTTAATGTGCAAATGATCAGAAGCAAGAATACTGGCCAGATTACTATCCATGTTTAAATCAGATCTGCATAAATTTTGATGGTTAATTGACAAGGAATTGGAGAATGTCTCAGTCATGTAGCTGGTCATACATCTTACTGTATAATCATGTACCACTCATCAATTAGCTATGGCAAGTTACAGAAACTGCATAGATACCAATTAAGCAATGTACCACATGTTTCTAAACAATAAGTTTTTCCCCAAATTAAAATGAACAGGAAGGGATCCTTGCCTCATAAGTATTTCTTTTTAACTTTTCTGAATGTTGTTCTGAAAATTATTGTATGAATAGTTATTTTATCTAACCAAATTACAAACTATAAAACAAAAATTAACACACTGTAGTATTGATGAAAGTGTCAACCTTCTTTGCTGAAAAAAGGATCAAAATGTGAAACCTGACAAAATATACTTGCTAGAGTATTGCATCTAAATATTATCTAGCAACTAGAAAAGTGTGACAATATTACAAGGCAGCCTAACTGCCATTATTTCAGAACTCCATGTTGGTACATAAAAGCACTCAAAACTTCTGCTTTCTGTACAAATTCTCCCTGAAAGTGTGAAAACATAATCAGTATAGTTCAGTGCATGCCATGATATCACATAAAGGTTATTTTCAAACGAATTGAATAGCAATGCAAATAAGATTCCCAGTTAAATCAATCTTCCAGTGAGCAGATCCAGATCTTCAGTATAGTTGTAGTAAATCTGTGTCTGATATCTTGATCCTCATCATTATCACTTGATGACTTTTAAGTAGTTTTCCACTAAAATTATTATGAATGTTTCCACAGGCACTTACTGTGTTCATATACTCCCAACTGGATTAAAACCCTTTCCGTGATTTCCCATGAGGCTTTCCCATATCCCTTTCCATTTCTTTTTTCAACTGAAATTGCTTGTATCTTTCAGCCATTGAAATCAGTTCTTCGGGAACTACCTGATAAAAGGAGGTAAAGGCATTGACTTTCATGTCATATACTTCATCCAATCAACATTTATTTTTTAACGTATTATGGAAGGAATCCCTGTATATGCAGGAGCAGTATCTGTGGTTTCACTTTTCAGCTGTTTCACTTTCCGCAGCCTATGTACATCATACAAGAGGCACCCTTTATGGCCTTTGTCCTGCCTCCTTGCATGTTTTATATACACAGGGGTTCTATATCCGTGGTTTCAGGTATCCACAGTAAATTGTGGAACTGATCCCCTGCAGATACAGGGGTTGTACTGTATTAACATTTCATCTAAGTAAAAGGTAAAACATTTTAAAGTACCTTAAAAAATCTAAAAGATTTCATCTCCAACCACTGACTGGTCTGGAGGCCACAAGTTTCTCTGAGTTAGCTGGTGAACAAGGGTAAGAATTAAGAGATGGGGGCAAATTGCCATGTTGGCGATTTGCCCTACTTTGTGATCCGTCAAAGTTGATGAATCATGATGCACAAAGCTCCCCCCATGAACAAAGAATTTATTCGTCAATTCGTGGAGGGGGGGTTAGACAGCCAGAGGCTGTCTAACCCCCCCCTCGCAGAATGGGAAAGCCATAGGATGACTTTCCCATTCTTTTCCCATCCCCCCTATGGGGGATGAATAAAAATAGGGAAATATTCATCCCTTTGTATTTGTCATGGTCTCTGGAACTGATGAATATGAAGGGATGAATATTTAACGAATCAGTGATTTCTTATGAATGTTGCGATCTCTCTCTCTTTTTTTGTCCCCATGTCTAGTAAGAATCCCTGTCAACATCTGTCTACTTGTTCCAGGTACTTCTTTCATTCATGGAATTTACAGGAGATCTCTAAATGATGTTATCTTCTGTATTTTCCCACTTTTTTGTCTTTCTTTTAAAAAATCTATTTAAGGGAAAGATGAAATAGCTTTGCTAGTTCTTTGTCTTCACATCTGAACTCTGCTGGACCTTCCCCAGCTGGAACTAAGGAATCTTGGTAACTTTGCACTTCTTAACTTTGAGACTTACAAACTTAACTGCACGTTTGTACTGCTAAAACTTCTGTATATATTATAAATATATTTGGTGTTGGAAGAAGCTATCTTTGTATGTGTGATTCAACTGGACTGCTGGACTGGGACAAAACTCTGCAGATTTACACCAGCAGAAGCATTCTGGAAAATTAAAGTCCAACATATCTGTAGATGCAAAGGATGAGAAAAACTAGCTTCTCTGTAACATATTTTAGGAATGGGGAATGTTGAGATATTGGCAAATCCCATAATCACGGGTTATGCTGGCTAGGGCTTATGGGAGTTGCAACAATATCCAAGAGGTCTATGTGCTCCTTGCCGTCATTTAAGCATTCACTGAACTATGCACTGATGATAGGCCGCATTGAAACCCTTCCCAAGATCTGTACCAAAAATTCAGTAGCATCTACAACCACTCTTTATGGTGCAGAAAGATGCCAGAGTGCCCTCCCATACCACAGAAAACTGCAAATTCCTTCTGTTGAATATCTCACTTCTTGAAGGAAGAAAGATTTTTTGTTTGTTTGTCTCACACTGTGACATGTTTCTAGCAGCACTGCTAATTTCAGTGGCCACAGCTTCAGGGGCCACATGTTGCCCATCTCTACTTAAGAGAAACACGGGAACTTCAGCTTTCAAAATTAAGCAATGTACAGGATAAATAAAAATGATAACACTTAGCATTTTTAAACTTTTGCATTCCAAACTTAGATATTGTTCAATAGTAGAACTCTTCATCATTTAGCTTATCCCGTTAAAGTAATGCTACTAGCCATTTTGCATGCCACACTGTAGTACCAGCTTTGTCAACTGAAAGCTTCTTAATTAATCTCATATATCACTTTGCTCATATAACAAGTCCCCTAAAGCAGTAGTTCTCAAACTGGGGTTCCTAGATGTTCTTTGAGTGCAATTTTCAAAAGCCTTTACCATTTGGTAGACTGGGGGGTGCAGTCCAAAAACATCTGGGGACCCAAGTTTGAGAACCACTGCCCTAAAGTATATTAATTATAAATGTCTTGTTGACATTACTGATTCATGTAACAGTCGGGCAAACTATTATATTTTGTGTTTTTTTTTATAAAAAAACTCAGCTTTACTTGAGTCTATGGTGATGTTATTGTTCCTGCTTCAACCTAGCTTGATGACTTTGATAAGATTACCTGGTTTCCTCTTTCCAGAATGTCAATCAGTTCAGATGCAATCCTCCAATCATTCCTAGTCACAAGGGTTAGAGCTTCCCCTGTGCGTCTGTAGCAAAAGGAAAGCAGTCAAGTTCCAGTACTTTTAGGTCCCCTTTGAAGGCTCACTATACTTTGTTTCAATTTAGACAATTTTTTTACAGGTTGGTCATTTCCAGACAATCACTTTCTGTTTCTAAAAGAGGTTTTTACAGTGTTAAAATAAGTACATGGGGGCAAAATTATGTTTAAATGCAAATTATGGAGGCTTCTGCAGTGTGAAATGCCATTCCACACAACACAACGCAAAACACACACACACACGCACACACACACAGTCTTGGGAGTTAGGAGTTCTAAGGTTTGAAAGAAAGCAAAAATGTCCCCAGACACTGAGAGATAACTTGAATGATATCCCATTTAAATGACTGAAAACTAAAAAGCCCTAAATTAATCTCTCCTAAGAGAAATTTTTCAACATTTTAAGAGTTTTTTTCTGACATTTCAAACACCTCTTTCACTTTTAAGGTTGCAATCTCATATATTCTCACCTGACAGTAAATCCTACTATAAAGTCTATTTCTAAATTGACATTTACTATAGAATTGTACTTTACAAATAAACACTGTAAGACAAGGTGAAGACAACTATACACTATTTCAAATGGACAAAAGATTTATATGAAGAGATTGCAATACAGTGGTACCTTGACTTACAAACTTAATCCTTATTGGAACAGTGTCTGTAACTCATTGCCTGCCTTTTTCCACGGCCTGTTTCTGTTCGTAACTGGAAGCTACGTTTGCAAGTCGAAGCAAAAAGTTGCAACCGGAGCTGTTCACAAGTCAAAATGTTTGTAAGTAGGGACATTCATAAGTCAAGGTACCACTGTACTGGCCATTTCAATTTCAGTATCTTTCCTAAAACTCTCTAACATGAACTTTAACACTGTACAATTACATTTTTGTAGTGTTCTCCACTATGACTAAGATATGTTTTTTGTCACTGCCTATTCAGAGTCCACCAGTACATGAGGAATTGTAATTTCATGACTAAGTTTACTTAAGAGTGTTTGATAGAGGACTTTGTTAAAAGTTTTGTTGTTGATCGAAATCTTAAGTACTGTATGCAGTGTTTATAAGCAAAACTGAAATTATATTCACTGCTAACACATTTATTTATTTATTTATTTATTTATTTGATTGATTGATTGATTGATTGATTGATTGATTGATTGATTGATTTATATCCCGCCCATCTGGTCTATGGGTTTATGGGTTGGCTCTAACAAACATTGATGTCTTGGATTCTTTAAACAGCTAGACCGCTCAGACAAAATTAGCACTCAAACAAGATCAGTTATCAGGCTGAATAAAAACAGTTTATGAGGTACTGACTTTGCATTAGAGAAGATGAAGACTACTTTTTATCTCTCAAATATAATTTCAACTTGCATCTCGGCTAGGTGGATGGTTATCTAATCCAGTGGTTCTTAAGTCTTCTCAACAACTAATGGCTGAAATTTTGTCATTTAACATAAGCTGCACTAGGTAGGTCCACTGAATCAATAGAGATTTGGTGAAGCAACCCCTCCACAAATTCCGTGGATTCAAATGGGCCTATTCTAGTTGTGACTTACTAGAGTAGCCCTATTTGAATCAATAAAACTTATGGAGGAGTTGATTCATCAAATCTAAATGGGTCTATTCTAGTGTGACTTACTATGCTAAGCAACAGGATTTCAGCCAATGCATGCTTCTTTCTGACACTGCCCTGGTAAAATGACCTGGAGACAGCATAGAGAAATACTCTGCCAAACCATAATTACAGAGATAATTCAGAGTTCCAATTCACTATATTAATATTCATCTTACCCTGCTCGTCCAGTACGACCTATTCTATGAACATACTCTTCAATGTTGCGAGGGAAGTCAAAATTAAAAACATGAGTGATATCCTCCACATCAAGCCCACGGGAGGCTAAGTCAGTTGCTATCAGAATACGAACTCTGCCTAAAACAAACACAGCAACGAGTAAACTGAAAAAACAACATATACCTGGATGCAGAGTTTTGAACTTATTAGAGAAATGTTTAGGGCAAACACATTTATTTTATTTACTTGCTTTATATACCACCCCATTAGTGCATGCACTACATCGCAGTACTAGCGAGTTTTATCTGATGAAAGATTTCATGGATTGTAACCCACCGTGCATCTGATAAAGTGAGCTGTGGTCCATGAAAGTTTATGTTAAATGAAACATCATAATCCTTAGGAAGCCACAAAACCTCTTATTTTAGATAAGTGTGCTACTTTTATTTTGTGGAACGTATTGTATGTACATAAAGATAGACAGATAATTATTTTGAAAGCAACCTGCTTCATTTTTTGCAGTAACACCTTCCTTTACTGCATCCAAAAATAGCCTTACATTAGGAAATAGCTTTATAATGTACAATAACAAAAAAATTAACACTGTAATCATTAACAACATTAAAGCATTCAATATCCTGTCAGAAGTTATTCAGAATCTTCTCATAAAACCAGCTTAACAATCAGAATACTAGAATATTCTTCTACAAGATATTTCAAGATGGTCAGGGGAAAAAGGCTCATGATAATTATGCTTCACAGATTGTAACAATGGCATCTCAGAACTTATACGCTTTCAATGACTTCTTATATATTGAGTGAGTCTTAATACACTTTTTTTAACACTGAAACTTTATTCACAGCTGAGTAGTACCTTCTCCCTCAAATATATTAAGAATAGTTTAAGAAACCATTCTTAGTGTTATTTATGTTACAAATAATCATGATAAATTCCACGTTTACCTTTCTTAAAATCTTCCAGTGCTTGTTCACGATCACACTGTTCTCTGTTGCCATGTAAGGACTGAACTGGAATTCCCTGGAGACTGAATTCGCTTGACATGTCATCTGCACTAATTAGCAAAAAAAGCAAAGCAAAGCATGCTGCTTATATACCGGCCCATAGTGCTTCAAGCACTCTCTGGGTGGTTTACAAATTAATTATGCAGGCTACACATTGCCCTCCCCCCCAGTGAGCTGGGTACTCATTTTACCAACCTCGGAAGGATAGAAGGCTGAGTCAAACTTGGACCAGCTACCTGGGACTGAACCCCAGGTCGCGAGCACAGTCTTGGCTGCAGTACAGCAGTTTAACCACTGTGCCATCAGGAAAAGTTAAAAACTTTTAGGAAATGCATTTAAAGTCCTATTTACATATTCCTGCCTATTGAAGAAAGTAGTATGAACAACTCATCCAAGGACATCTTCCTTTACTTCATCCAAAAATAGCTTTACATTAGGAAATACCTAGCTTTATTGTGTACCTAGACAACATGAATACAAGTTGGTGGGAGAGAAGCATCTGCACTTAAATGGGCAGGCAAAAGATGATAGGGAGAAAAAGCATCTACTGGAAAGCCATTGTTAGAGCAGACAATATTAGTATACATAAGATGAATCAGTGGCCTGTCTCAGTATAATTAAGGCATATGGATACCCATATATAGAGTCAGAGATCAGGAGTCTGATTCTCCACCATGCTTCCCGATAGAAGAGGCAGGCTGTGTAGCACTGGACAAACTACAGTCCCAGAGCACTCCCAGAAAAACGGAATAGTAAACCCCTACTCTGTACCTAGAACACCCTAGAAAGGATTATCACAAAACAAAATCAACCTATGACACATAATAATGATTAAGGCATGAACAGAGGTAAGTATGATGTTTGTAGATTTCTTCTACATACGTAATTTTCTTGCCCACAAAAATGATGACCTTATCTTGAGACTTCATAGTGTCAATAAAATAACGTGTGAAACTTCGTTTTTCTTCTTCTGGAATAACAACCACCTTTTGCTCAACTGTATTTACTGCCTGCAAAACCAAGTTTAATGAATGGAAACTTGAAATAAAGTTAGGATATCTTATACAGGGAGTATATATACAGCTCCCTGGCCCTCTCTAGCTTGGACCTCATCCAGACACCCATCCTTTTTTCTGATATATTGAAGCAGAAGTGCAATTTGATCTGCTCAACTTAGGTGTGATGCTTTGGTCTTCACAATAGATAGCAGGGGGCCCTTTCAGTGATCTTGCACCTAAGGAGACCTTGGTTACTTAGCTGTGGATTGGTGGGAGGATCATACTGGCGGGCAAATGTGTTGCCCAATGCTTGGATGTTGTGCCAAGTTACTTTGTTGCTATAACTAATAAAGCTATACCCATCATTTTATCCACTTTAAATAAACATGTGCAGTGTGGTTTTTGTTATGGCACAGGGAGGGAGACTGAGCTGCAATCCTAGACATAGTGCTTGGATCCACAGGGTCATATACTCCTGAGTCTAGGCATAAAGAATCCAAACTTTTTTCAAAATTCCTTAAATATTCTGTATACCAGCTTTGAACATTTGTTTCAACTAGAAATTGTTATCAACAACAGAAGAAAATTCCAAAACCTCAGCATGTTTACTTGGAAATAAATTCCACTTACATTAGTGCATGTTGCTGTACAGTTCTTAAAATCACATATAATTAAAACATATTTTTTGCCAGTTTCATAAAATCAGATACTTTGTTTCTATAAGAATGCTGCAAACCACATATCAGAAAACCAAGATTTAAACTGACATAAAGTGTGATCAGATGGGCATATAGCTCACTATTTGGCTCACTTTCCGAGTGGTTTGGTTCACCAAATTTTCTGGTGACCACATGTGTTTTCAGTAATAGTGATCTATCCTGCTCCTTTTGCAAGCCATCCTGCTCCCTTTTTGAAAAGAGCTATGGCTGCCGTATATTTAGTATGACTGGGATCGCTCTTGATTATCCCATTTAGAAGCTGTGCACTTGGTTAATCTGCTCCCAATACTGTATAGCTGTAAGCAACATTCTCTATTGTGACAATCCTCTGATATATGCAGTGGGTTGTAACATCAAAAGGGATGACAGGGAAATCCCCTCCTCTTTTTTCATCTTCTCTGCCTTTTATGAAAACATTTCTCTATCTGATATAACACTGTTCTAGATAACTGGAGGCGCCCTTTGATATCTGATGCAGGACTGACTCATTGGGAGGAAAATTAAACAAAAAAGGGAAGTCATTGTGGTCAGCAGAACAACAGGAGCAACAAAAGATGAGAAGAGGAGTGTCTATAATTTGAAGAGGGAGAAAGCTGAGCAGTCTGAAGTAGAGATGGGCATGAACCGTGGTTTGGCCTGGTTCTTGCACAGATGATCAGTGGGTGTCAAATGCTCCCCTCCTCCGCCTCCTCCATGTGACTGTCCATCACTGTCAGCAATGTACTTTCCTCCCCTACCTCCTCCATGTGAATGCCCACTACCGGCAGCAGTGCACACATCCCTTTTCCAGTGGCCACCCACTCAGATGAGGAGGGAAGCCTGCAGCACTGTCAATGAATAGACAATGATGCAGAGGAGGCAGGGGAGTGAAGTGTGTGGTGCCCAGGGAACACCTATGCTGAACCATGGTTCATGTCTATCTCTAGTCTGAAGTCCCTTCTCACAGGTAACCCTCTTGCATGAATGGAAGAATCGCTTAAGTGTCAGATAAAATAAGTCACACCAAAGATAACAGCCTTTTAAATATGAACTGAATTGCTCCAACTTTCTCCATCTAGTGATGCCCATAACATCTACTACTTCTATGAGTACAATGGGTCCACAACATACACTCATCTAATAGGCAGGAAGAGGTATGTTACCTCTCACAGGGCATAGAAAAAAGTAGGGAGAATTATTGTCCTGTCTGGGACAAAAAAGGCTGCAGACTTTCCACTTTGGCATTTCTTTGACAACATTAAAAACTGTTTTTTTTTAAAACCTGTTCAACAACTTTGCCACTGACAACAATTATGACAGTCTTCCCATTCAAACCCCATGCAACCTACTGAAGAGAAAATAAACTTTGTTTTGACTGATTCTGGAAACAAGGGTGGATTCAGCTTGGTTAGTACATGGATGGCAAGCCTCTAGGGAATACCAGGGGCCTCAAAGTAGGGTATGAAAAGAATTTACCCTGTAGGCCCACTGCCAGTCAGGTGTTGACTATACAGGGCTAGATGGAGCAACGGTGTGGTACAGAATGAGACAAATTTCTATACTCCTAGTTTTTTTTTCTTTGAGATGTTCATTTTACCATATTCATTTTAACCTGTTTTAACCAATTAAAAGATTATTCTGAGTTGTTGTGCTTTAACAAATAAAGCCTAGCTGCAAATACAAATCAAAACTAGATATTGTCCAGGCTAAGCTGCCTCATTATTCCAAACCAAACTCATAAAAACCACACATCTTGAAACAGCAAAAACAACTCACCGCTAAATCCAGAGTACCAACATATACAATCATAGGATCTTTCAAATAGGATCTTGCAAGACGACGAACACCATCTGGCCATGTTGCACTGGTGGGAACAAATAGTGAAATCATTTTGAAGGCATTCGAACCCCACAGGATGATTTTCTTGGTTTATCTATCCCAAATACTATCAAACCAATTGCCAAATTTTATTAATAAAGCCTTCAAGAATACATAGTAAAATTTTATTCAAAAATAAAATTTCCTATTTGCCATTCAAAAACCATAGGATGAATATTAATTTTGTTGATTATTACGTATGTGCTCATTTAGTCCATCTCACAATTTAAACTGTTTTTTAACAGTTATACCTTATTTTGGCTTTTTTTCAATTTTATCTCCAAGGAACTAAAGACCATATATAGAATTCTACTTTCCCATCCTATTTTACCCTTAAAATATAATGCTGAGTGCTGTTTACAAGTCTAAGGTCTCCCAATAAGCTTAATTCTTGACTGCAGATATAGATATAATTCTTTCTTCCTTTGTCCAATATTCTAATAACTGTATCAGAATAGTTCTTATCACTATTTCTAATTTTTCTAAGGTAGTCTTCACAATTGCAACTTACTATTGGATTTGAGTCAATAGGGAAGGCAACTAGAATAGATCCATTGAATCAGTAAGGGCCTGGTGAGTCAATTCCTCCAATGAGTCTACTCTAGTTGCAGCTTACTACTGGACTTCAGCCACTACATGATACACACTCAGCATGTGAAAACTGTAAGACTTTGGGGCAATGCAGACAACTACACCCAGTCTTTGCAGCAGAAGCCTCAGTGACGGAGGGAAAAACTATGGATGATGAGGGGGAGGAACTCTGGTCTGTTTTACACTGATTTTTACATTATGTAGTCAATAGAAAAAAAATTGAAATTAGTCAAATCCAATCCCAGAGCATTTCCTGCACGATTTGTCAATGCAATTGCACCCTCAGTAGGGAATTTTCCTCTACAGATAGCACACTTTTTTAGCAAGGCCACGAGGGCTCAAAAATGGATAATGATCTTGCTTTTTAAGATGGTGACAATCTTAAAGACAAGATGAAGAGAAATAAAGAATAAGGTAAGACTGAAAACTAGGTAATTTGGCTATATGAAGCGATTTGAAGGGAGAAAATAGCATTAAGAGCTCTCTGGCTGCTACTTTCTACTAGACATGGGGAGAAATATAAAAATAAATCATGACATTTGTTGAATATTGCTGATTCATTTGGTTTTTGTCCCTTCCCATTCATGAGATATGAAGACCCCCATGACTACGAAGGGACGAATATACACCTTTTATATCTGTCCATTCATCTCTCTGCCTACATCTGTGTGGATCAGCTGATCTGCACAGGCATAGGCAGACAAAGGAAGCCTGACCGAAGGGAATCTCCCCCCAGCTGCTGTTTGCTATGGAACAGAATCTAGGCTGCGGGAATGGAGACTGCCATTCTGGCAGCCTAGATTCCGTTCTGGTAGTGGCGGCAGAGGAGCAGGAGGAGGTAGCAGGACAAGGTAGGGAAGTGGTGTGGCAGTGAGTAGGGGGCCCAGTGAAAAAAAGACCCAATGAATTGACCGATTTGTGGGGGGGGGAGGAAATTTGTGGTTTGTCTACCACCCATGAGCCAAGTCGAACTGCCATTTTGGCAGTTTGTCCCCATCTCTACTTTCAACAGATGAGAGGGAACTGAGAGAGAGCTATTAGGGTGTGTCTGATCATGTGCTGTGGAGATTGTGGAAGGAGAAGGTCTTTAAGATGCAGAGTTTTAGAACATTTCAGGGTTTCCTCTGCATAGGTGCAAGAAGGTCCTCGGTGTTGTGGAGACACCGAAAGGAAGGGCGCAGAATTGGTATGTCATGTTGTTGAACTGGAACCAAAGAAATTTGTGATAACACAGATGAATCGAAATGTGGAAATAGGCATCTAGAAGGTCCATCATGACGAACCAGTCTCCCCATGAAAGTAAAGGAATGATAGTGTCCAGCGTCAGCATTCCGAATTGATGGGGTTGAATAAATTTGTTGAGGTGCTTGAGATCAAGAATGGGACGGAGTCCTCTGTCTTTTTTGGGAACTGTAAATTAAGTATCTTGAATTAAAAACATCATGCAAGACATGCAAGTCAGATGAAGGAACTGGGATTATAACTTGTTTCTGAAGAATCAGAGAGACTTCTTGCAGAGCTGTAGAATATGGAGTATTTTTGACTCTTCCAAACGGTGGGTGGGATTTAAACTCTATAAAACAACCATATTTGATAATGGAGAGGACCCACTGGTCGTTAAGTTATAGCTTGCCATGTATGAAAAAACCAGTTTAATCTTGTCCAAAATCGAGCGCGAGAATAGTATAGTGGTAACTGGAACTTATAAGTATTGCTTACCCTTTTTCTGAGGTCGACAAAAGGGCTAGTGTCATTGCTGTTGCTGTTGATTCCGAAAGGAGGACAACACTGGAGGTGAAGGGCCCTGAAATGTCTTGTCTGATTATTGTGGTTTATATTGTCGATACGGTTGGAATCGTTGATATGATTGGTGTTGAAAAGATTGTTGATAGGAAGGTTGTCGGCACTGAGGATGTTGGTACTTGAATGTTTGTTGAAGAGAATAAGATTGGGCTGTTTTGTGCATCTTGTGAAGATTTTCCATGACTTCGTCAGTTTTCTGATTAAACAGTCCAGTTCCATCAAATGGTAAGTCCTCTATTCTTGATTTGGCATCATCAGAGAGGCCAGTAAACCTAAGCCATGCATGGTGTCGTAGAGCAATGGAAGTGGCTAGCGATTTCAATGCCACATCTGTGGTGTGATGGGCCACAATCCTTTGCTGTTTCACCAGTGTAGTGGCCTCCGTATGAATGTTGATGGCTTCTGATTTCATTGATTTGGGAGCTGATTCTGGTATAGGGAGGATCTTATTCCACAACTGTTGTTGGTAAGCTCCCATTACCGCTTGATAATTTGTGACTCTTAGTTTGAATGTGTGAGAGAGTAAATTCGTCTGCTGAGTATGTCGAACTTTCTTCTCTCCCTGTTGGTGGGAGCAACGGAGGATTTGTTTTAAGCTCTGGACTGATTGGATTCTACTATTATAGAATTGGGTGTAGGGTGCTTTGTGAGGAAGCCGGTTCCGGGTCTGTGTGTTTTATAATGATTTTCACAAGGGAACATTGACTGATTGATTAAAAATAAATAGGTAGAATTTGAATAAGATACCGTATTTTTCGCTCTATAAGACGCACTCCCCCCCAAATAGTGGGGGGGGGAAGCATGTGCATCTTATGGAGCGAATAGTTAAAAAGGGTTCAGCCACCACCCAGAAGCCTCCCACTGCCATGCTGGGAGGCCTCTGAACTGGCACCAGTTCAGTTGTTGTTTGGACCTCACCATTCTGCATTGCTGGCTTCCCAGGATCTGCTTCCTGCAGCCCACCTGGAAAATCAGCAAGGCTAACAGGCCTATGGCAGCAGACAGTGAAAACAGCCAAGGACCAAAGGGGAAAGATTAATTCTAGAAAGACCAGGGGAAACCTCAAACGTAGTCTCCCACTTAGGCAGTTGATTTCCCCACATTTGGGAAAATTACAGGGGTCAGCACATCCAAAGTGCAATAGACGAGCCTTACCCTGGGAAAACCACATTTACAATAATGGTATCTCCCCTGCCAGGTAGGAGTTGGAATGGCCCCTCCAACTCCTGCCCCCTTTCTGTGCCCTGTCCCCCAAAGGCATGGTGACCCCCGGCTGCACCTCCTCATCAGAACAGGGCTGCTCAGCCCCAGTCCCGAAAGAGGCCAGGAGAGCTCTCAGTGTTTTGGGGT